GTTGTTGTTGTTGTTGTTGATGAATTATTAGGGCTGTAGTGGTAGTAGGACCAGTGTTACCAGAATGCATTTCGTAGTGAAAAAAACTAAACAGCTCACTGGGGGTAAATTGGTCATTTTAACCAGTTCTATCCTGTCCTGTCCTGTCTTACCAAACGCCGAACAGCTGTCCTGTCCCGTCCTGTCCTGTCCAGTCCTGTCTGCGCACCAAACGCACCCTTAGTGAGCTGGAAAGCAACGTTACAGCCGTCTGTTGCTTTGTCTACAACAGAGGTTGAATATATGGCTCTTACGGAGGCTGCAAAAGAAGGGATTTGGCTGAAAGGTTTGCTTGGAGATCTTGGGTTTCATCAAGATCAAACTATAGTTTTTTGTGACAGCCTGAGTGCTATTTGTCTTGCAAAAGACCAGGTGCATCATGAAAGAACGAAACATATAGATGTCCGTTATCACATTAAAGTGAAGAAAGTGAAGACCGACGACAATCCAACTGATGCACTGACTAAACCCGTTTTTTTTAACAAGTTTAGGCATTGTTTAGATCTCCTAACCATTGATAGTTGGATGTAAACTTTTTACTGTACTAGAATTAAAGCCAAGGTGGAGATTTGTTAGGTGTGGTTTTAATTAAAATAGTTAGTTTTTTCTGCTAGCGTGGATATTACCTATAAATAGGTTGGGTTATCCTCATTTGTGAATAATCCCAATTTCAAAAATAAGATTCCTTCGATTTCCCATTTCTTCCAAACTCTTTAATCGTTTTCTCTAATTTTTTGACAATAACAATTCAAATATTTTGTAATTAATAAACAATGCTGCTGAATTAGCCTGTTTCCGGCATGTAATAACTTAATCTATTCCTTTATTCAAGAAAAAGTATTTCCAGTTTGCATGGTCCAACCATTAATCCACAAAAATTTACAATAAATTTATTTCTTCAATTAAGAAAACCATAGAGAACTATAATAATTGAATAATCATTTTGAAATCAGATAAACGAGAAATAATTATCAATAAAAGTAAAAAATAGAAACATTTTTTTATTCCATGAATCTATGGAGAGAATTATGTAGTTGCAAATTATATATATACAATGTGTGTATATCAAACTTGTATAATTGAAATAGTAAGAGTATTTTTTTTACCCTCCATATAAATTATCTAACTTGTCTGCAACTTAGGGCCATCGTAGAAAAGCAAACCAAGTTACTCTAGGATAAGACTCATTACTTATTCACGTACGAAGCCACATGAAAATTGACCGAGTCCATTTCTTTTTTAGCTCTCAGTTTGTTGCACTTTCTTGTTTGTTTCACCAGTTTCTGACTTGGTGTAGATGTTTCACCGCTGTCTAAGTTGGTTCTTTGGTCTAGATATGTTGAAGGATGGTAGTATTTCTAGTTTGTAAAGGATCCATTCACAACTGGAAAAAAGAGTGAAAAATTAATCCAGTGGTGTGTTCTTCTTCAGTGACATCATTACTTAGAGAGATATTAGCAGACTTGTTTTTTCTATTCCTACCGGAGAACCCATCCTGAGTTATCTACCATTGTTGGTATCATAGTCAGGTTTAAAGATGGTCAGCACACGCTCCTCTGATCAACAAATTCCACTGGTTATGTCAGAAGCTCAACAGCTTGCTGACATCACTGCCCAGTTAACACCCTAGATACACATATGGTCGCTTTAAAGGCTTCCTCCAACAACACAAAAGCTGAAAGAAGTAACCATGACAAAGGAAAGGCACCGAGTCTAAGTTTCAATGAGAAGGATAACTATGACAACCCATGGTAACTGAAAAATCCCTCCAAACGTCCTTCCACAAGGATTGAACTTTCAAAATTTGAAGGGGATGACCTGAGAGGATGGATGTTGAAGGCTGAAAAACGTTTCTGGTATTATCAGACCCTTAGATGAGTTAAAAGTAGAAATCGTTGAGGTGTCTTGGAAGGAGACACACTTGATCTCTCTACGATGTACTTGGAAGATGATACTGACATCACGCTGCTTTATTGGGAAGAGTTCACCAAGATGCTTCAGAAACATTACAGTCCAACCAAATTTCAGAACCCAGACTAGCACTTGTGTGGCATCAAGAAGAAGGGACGATGCAAGAAATATAGACAAGAATTTGTGAAGCGTTCAGCGAGAGTAAATAACTAGCCTGAGCACTGTCTCAGCTTTCTATATGGGTGAACAAAGAATTAGAAGTGGATTTTAAGATTTAGAAGCGGAGATCGACATACAATGCTATGAGCCTTGCGATTGAAGGAGGCTAAAAGTTGATGAGCCACAAGTCAAATGCAACCAGTACCCACTTTTAACTGTTCTGCACAAGAGTCACACTTTGTTGCCTCATGACCTCTGCTGCCAGCAAGCTCGAATGTACCTGCATCCTCGATGCCGAATTCATCTGGCACAAATCTCGTCCTCCAATCCTTGGGTATAAGTTCCAAGGAATTTCTGAAAATACACTGCCCTCAGCAGAAATTAACAGCTTGGCTAAGGAGGAGAAGACAAGTTTACGCAGGGCACTAACTAATCTAGAAAGTTTGTGCTATGTTGATGTTTTCGCAAAGATAAGTTTGCTTCCTCCACTCTGTTCACTCTCTCGTGCAATCGTGCTATATCAGAATTCTCCATCACCCAATATACGGCCTTACAGGCTCCCCTATTTTCAAACCGAATAAATTGAGAGGCAAGTTGGGGATTTTCCTTCTAACAGCTCTTCATAAGGCCTAACACTAGTCTTCGCCAGTCCTATGTTGTCGATCAAGATAAAGGCACTTCATTTTAGTTTTCTTTAATGATATACTGGTATATAGTCCTTCTCTTCATCTTCTAAGACTTCACTTGTAAATTGTAATTGGTTTCCGATTTGCTGCATCTCAAGCTTTCTTTGCACATGCTAGGAAATGCTTGTTTGCTCAACAAGTGATTTTTCTAAGACATTTTGGTGCCCTAGGATATTTGAAAACCTTGAAGAGGCTAAATAATCAATCCTTTTGGCTAAGGCACATCAGATCCCTACAAAAAGACATGGACAATATTTGAAAACCTTGAGGAGGCTAAATAATCAATCCTTTAGGCCTCACATGAGGAGGATGTCAAACTTCTAGTTCAACAATGCCAAACTTTCCAGAGAAATAGATAGGAAATACCTGTTTGCTTGCTGTAGCCCTTACATTCCCAAAAGAATTTGGGAAGACAAATCTATAAATTGTGTGGTTGGCTTACCAAAATCTTACTAGGTTGACATTATCTTGGGTTGTAGGTGATGGTTGAATACGTAGCCATTTTTTACCCATCTTTCATCCATTTACTGTGAAAACAGTGGCAGGTATATTTAGCAAAGACCGGGGCATTTGCATGACATGCCCTGTTTGATAGTTTCCAAATCGAGATTCTACTTTTCTGAGCTCTCTTGGCAACAATTGTTTTGCCTTAGTCAAACTAAGCTTAGAAGAGTACCCCATATCACCTACAAATGGATGGTCAAAACAGAGGTCATTAATAGATGTTTAGAGGCTTATCTTAGGTTCCTTGCTCATGAAAAACCTCATAAATGAGTTTCCGTTCTCTGCTGGAATGAATACTCTCATACAACACTGGCTTTCATAGTTCAACCAACACCATATCCTTTAAGATTGTCTATGGTTAGGCCCCTTCGCCATTGCATCCCTTTGTAAAAGGGGAGGCCACTAATGATGAACGTGAAGACCAACTCATGACTGGCGATGCTATGCTGAAACTTTTGACAAAAAAATCTCGGCAAAGTACAGTCCATATGTAAGCACAGCAAAATAAACATCGCACAGACCACTCTTGGTTGGAGACGTTTGCACTTGCAGTGGAGATGGTGAAAAGGTAGTCTTTGTTGTCGACTGTACTTGATAACAACCCACTACATCTACTTATAAATTTGTATACCCATCTTATTATTGTAACCTTTGTAAAGAAAGCAACTCTACATACTTATAGAGTAATTTTTAGTCCAAACTAAAATGGCGCACCTAGTTACCATACACAATGTGTGTGATCTACCCAAGCCCAACCCCCCCCCCTTCCAAAAAACACACACATATGTATTGTGAGTTGTGACAGATTGGGGTTTAATGAGTTAATCCTTGGTGCTTCAAAAGTTCATTATGAAACTCTGAACCCATCTATAAAGAAACCCTCCAACTTCATATGTTGCCCCATTTATTTGCAGAAACTTTTGGCTGTAAAACTTGGAACCCTTTTTGGTCTTTCTTTTATTTGGTGATGTTGCAACATAGTGTTACTACTGGAATCCTTTTTCAATATTTTCATTATAAATCATATGCACTACATGCATATAATGCAACTCCAAATCTAGGAAATAGTTTAGATTATCTTTGCTATTATTAATGGTGATATATTTCCTTGGGTAAAGATTGTATATCCTGGTAAATTAGGATAGAGATTGCAATCCATGTAGATAGGAAAGTGGATATTGTTGTTTCCTAATTTCATGAACAACAACGATTATATATAGGGCTTAGTCTTGTTAATTGAAATTTCAAATCTTCCATGTTATTCTCTCATGGCTGATAACTTTAGCATAAGTGAGCACCATGTAGCTGCTTGCCTGTTTCCTAAAGAAGAATATGCTCCATCGCACCAAAGGACCTTTGGCCTAGCGGTATCTAGTAACCCAACCTTTCTAGAGGTCAAGTGTTCCAACCTCACCAAAGGTGAGGCATGTGTGTGAAGTTCCATTTGCCATATATAAGTATTATATACTTCAAGAAAAATGCTCTGGCACCATTTAGGTTAGCATTGATGCCTCGGAAACCATCTGTTGATATCATTTTAATTATATAAAATCTAAACCCACCATGATTTTATAAGTATCAGCTTGATATGGTCGTTTAAGATTAACTATTAGAATGTCAACTACAATCTTACGAATGGTCTATCAGCAGAAAATATAAATAAAATGTCATCAGCAGGAATGATCAACCGCTTTGGAGTACCTGAATATATATTCACCAGGAGAGCTTCAGGGTGGTAGGTGGGTAGAGTTCCACCAACATGTGCTGCTATTTCCAAGATGCTGCAAAAACCAATCTCTGTACTGGTATGATATTTATGTCTATCGCTTCCAGATATGCTTGAAAATATACAATTCTCCATGTTCATTTTTATAGGATATCTGGGTAGGCATGGTTCAGTGCTGTCCTTCAATGTCAATGTTTCAAAAGCATGAGCATCAGAATCACTAAAAACTTCAGGAAGCATACATCTATCTGATCTACCATCATTATCAAAAGAATTATCTTCACAAATATTCTGATGACACTTAGACATGTGTCTCTGGTTGCTAGGGAGTAACAACTGGCTGAAAAGACAAAAGTAGTCATCATGAACAATCACACCTGTTGCTTTAGGTCCCCAAATGAAATCACGGATGGCGGTGCGAGTATGAGTTTTTGCAAGACAAAACCACATGTTTCTATCCAAAGATTTTTGTGAATCTATAAAACTTTGACCTCCACGACGCCTCATGGAGTACACTTGCAGTTCATTCTGCAAGCAAACTCCAAGCAGTAGCTGACCATTACCTATTGTCAACCAATTTAAAGCAACAACCACTCCATCAAGATATATAGTGTCTTCAAGTAAAAAACTCCCATTTCCTCCGAGGTACACAGATTCCCATATGTGAAGAGTGCTATGTTTATTTGACTCATGGACAGTAGATATAGTTGCAATCTTTCGACCACAATCAGTTGGACTTACTCTCGTAATGGGGCCCTCATGAGAGGCAATCATGCCTACCAGTTTCCACTCTTGATCCAAGTTAAGTGATTCAGCAGCCATACTTCTCCATAGTTTTAAACTGCCATCAAAACAGCCAGTAACCATGTGATATGCAACATAATTGCTGAACATTCCACTACCAACATTTTGCTCTTGTTTAGCTGTAGAGAAGTTATACAGACCAACAACAGCAAAGCTTGTAATGCTATCATGGTTGTGTGGATCTGGAAACACAGATGACCAACGATCAACAAATATACAATATCTCTGCTCTGAAATATAACTTTCGAAGAAACATGTGCCAATTTCTGCGTTCTTATCAAAGTCAATATTGCATTCACACTTTCCGCCTGGCATACCTGAAGGATGAATGGTAATTTTCCATGATAATGCCTGAAAGTTCCCTTTCCGTATAGCTACCACTATAAAGTTGTTATATAGAAAGTTGCTACACGTAGAAGTCAAAGGAATTGACCAGATACTGGTTGGTCCGTCTTCATCACAGGTACCAGTGAAAGGGATAGTACATAATTTATGACACAATATTAGGTCTTCATTTTCACAAACCTTAACTACAAAGCAATCTATGCCTCTAGCATGCCCCATTAATAGAATCCTGTGATCATGTATTATTGCAGGTGCCCACCTCAAGCTAGTGTATTTGCATTGAGAATCCTGAACTACAAATTTGCCAGAAAGTTTGCAGCCAGAGTTCAATGCTGATAAACCCATGATACTGTTGGAAAGTGACCAAAACAAAATCACACCATCAGTATCCAAAGAAACCGCCAGTTTAGGATAACATCCATAAGGATGCAATACAATTTGTAAAATCTTTCCGGTATGACCATCTATGTTTAAAGTTCTATTAGCAATAGACGACAGAGAATCCTCCATATCAGATATTTTATTAGCATCCGATGATGTGTGTTCATAAAACTGTAACCACACCAAATGATTACACGGTAATAAGTGAACTACAGAGCATACGTCCGGTGGGCCAAAGAATCCATTCCTTGATATAACAGCCTTGTGAAGTAGAAAGCTTGCTCCTTTTTTAAGACCCAATAACTCTCGCCTTTTCCACAAGGTCACTCGTGGGAATCTCAATGGGGAAAAATCATCAATACAGTGGACAGCCCAGAAGGTTACCAGCATTTGAGGGCCAAAACAAATTAGCCAGTCACACTTGCCAGCTTTGCCATGGTGATACTCTTCTGAAGCAAAATATTGGCTAGCTTCTTTACCAATATTAACAATACCATCAAGTTCGGAGGCCCATCTTACAAACACATCAGAACCCAGAATACCGTTTACTGCTTGATTTATCTCAATTGTGGCAGCAACTCGAAAAGATGACCCTGTTGGTCTTTGATCATTTTGGCCCTTCCCAGTCTTCCTGGCCCGTCCATCATCGATCTCACTCCACAACCTTACAGTTCCATCAGCACAGCATGTTAACAAAACCAGCTTCAGCAGATGTTTTGGTTTCTCTTTCCATTGGTTAGCTACCAAAGGCCTCCACTGAATCATGGAAACAGGCACATGATGACGGAGCTCAGCTTTGATGTACTTTGATTTCCCATGACCAATCAATACACATCTGCTGACATCTTTTGTCACAGCTGTTGAATCCCCATTTTGCGGTTTATTTAGAGGTGCAGTTGCAAATGGCCCTTCAATGGATGAGGTAGTAGAAACCAAAGCTTGAGGAAACTCCGGCCTGAATTTCCAAGCTATTTCCCAAGACCAGCCCTTCTTTCTCCATAAGACAACATCAATTCCAACTGAGATAAGACCATCTCCTGAGCCTGTCCATCGAATGGCTTCAACCTTTGTTCCTTGCACAAGTATTGCAGTCTGGCTCCAACAAAAAGAACCTGAATATGAGTAAGAAAGTTAAAATGTACAAACATCCAAGTTTGAGAGTAAAAGATGAACCTTTTCGAGGTAATAATCATAGAGCTTCTTTCTTTCTGGCCACCCATACACACACAAATGCGCACACACACAATAACACTAGTCTCTTACAAGACTTCAACCCCTACTCTGAATGTCATTTTAGTAAATTGTTGTCGATGGGCCAAGGCTGCTTATAGAATATTTGAAGTTTGAAATAACATATTAAACTCAAAGTAGATATGAGAGAAGGGAAAAGCCCATCATCGTGAAATAATAGAAGCCTACCAAGCAAGGTAACAAGAAATAACCACACCAAAAGCCATTTTATCAGGAAAGATCCATGTAGGCGAGATCGCCATGGTAATTTGAAATTAGATGTGATAAAAATGCATTTCTATTAAGTTGACAATGCAAAAGAAAACAAAGCAATTTAATGAGAATAGTAGCATAAATTTAAGCTTAAAACTCACTTAGTTGGCAAGGTTTTGTACCAACTAACCTTCTAAATTATGTGAAAATACTCCAATACAATCGTCCAAAGAGGCTGCTACTTCTCCGGAAGCCATCACAGCGGGAGACCAAGCAACCGCGGAGGCAACCCCGGTGCCGTCGGAGGAAAGTTCAATGACTTGCCGGAAAGATGGATCGACAGGGGTTTCGTTGTTTTCTGATGGTGATGGGAAGTGGGAGATCACGAGAAGCGACGAGGCTGCGTAGGCAATCCATGCGTGGCCTAGGTAGTCCGGTAACCAGTCGACGGCAGATTCGCTTCTGGTTGGAGCAGGAGGGATCGTATCCGATTTGATCAGTTGGAAAGGGAAATCGAAGTGTGTATCTGATTCGGTGCTCACTTCGGTGGCGGTGGCATTACCGGCGTCGGTAGTTCGCCGCCGCATTGGGAAAAAGGGTGAAACGGCAGTTGGCAAACTGAATTGCATAAACCTCTACTCGATTGTAACAATAATAATCGACTATCAAATGTGACATATACATAAACATTATTTGTTCATCTGGCCAATTAATGTGGATTTTTATATAAATTTAGGGCATATTTATCAAATTCTATGTAAGCGTTGGTGGGGTCTTATGTAGTACCCTATCAGGGTGAACGACTCAAAATCTTAAGTATAGTAAAGAAGAGATCTTACCCGGTAAATAAGGTCGACATCAGATAAAAGACGTTTACCAACAATATATTTTAACGACCAAAAATGTTAGTTCATAAGGTAATTGAGAATAGTAAGTCTTGATGGTAAATGCTTGCTCGGTAAACATTTGGTAAACGGTCCACTGTTTTAAAAAATGTTTTTGTTTGTTAGTGCAATTTTTATAATTTAATTTAGAGCAAATTATTTTAAAAAAAAATTATAGTCATCAGTTTTTTTCTATTTTTCTTATAAATCTTATCAATCGCTTCAACTCTAGTTAAAAATGGTCTATTGAGCTCCACACTTGCCCCTCAGTTTAGGGGCATTTTAATCGTTTCATGTATTGCCCTCCCATTTAATCCCCAACGACCTCCCCTAACTGAGCAACGTCTTCACCTCTCTCCTCAACCTTATTCTTCATTCTTCTTCTAGATTTCTCCAAGTGGTTCATTGTGTTTACAGATCACCTCTAATCATGGACATCAACAGACCCTGGTTGTATGTTGTATTGTTGCTCTAAAATGGTAAGTTTTTATTTAAACTGAGTCTACCTAAGTTGGTTTGGTAACCTAATTTTTATCACTACAAAATTTCTATACGAATTGAAGTGTGGTTTCATTGAATGGATTAACCCACCAATACGTTATATCTGACGTTTGGATGATATTCCGTAACTATTGAGGTCAAAGAATGAAGTCGAAGCATCCAACATAGAACATGAAGCCTCTATCAAAGCCACTAAGAAACAATTTCGCACGTTGAAGATAATGGTGTGTCTTAGTTGGATGTATATATTTTTCTCTTAACTTAGTTGATCTAAGTTGTTGTAACGAGTGAATTGGAATGTACATGTTCAATGCTCTGTATGGGCAAAGCGGTCTGGATCATATCTTTCTTTCTTGGATTTGTTGATTTTTGGACTTACATAGTCCAAGCATGATGTATATATGTAAATAATTTGATACTCCATTTTAGACGGTTATATGTAACAAGTTTGATAGTATGCAGGCCTATTAAAATAAAGAACACAGTTGTTGTAGCAAGTTAGTTGCATGTTATAGCAACTGTGATTAGATCCCCTTTTGAAATAATCGTGTAAATACTCTCAAGTATATGCATAAGGTTGAGAACGCAATGTTCAAAAGGTGAAGGAGGTCAATATAGCAGTTTATTCAATTTACATGGTGTCATCCTAATTAACCCTAAACACCAATTACTTTTTAATCAAACCACTCCTAAATGGCCCACTACCCCATTAAACAGACCAGTTGTTGCTTGTTTTCCCCAAACAGAAAAACATTTGATTCCTTTATTTTCTTTGTGGGAAAACAAGTTAGCAGCTCATTCAAATTAACATCCAATAACTTCTCCTCTCCATTATTCAACCGAACCAAAAACTCAATCATGGGGAAAACAAAATCGCAAGCAAAAGAAGAGTTTGCTTGAAGTAGTATAAGGAGGATTGAATACATTACTTGAGACGAACCCTTCAAAGCCATAAGCACAAGACGTTGTTCATTCATTCAAATTTTTGGCAGCACATATTTATCTCAATAAAATAAAATTGATCATATTCAACATTAATATGTTGTATTGCGTTTTTCTGTTTTGTAAAACCGTGTGAGAATATTTGAAAATTTATTATTTATGTTATTTGCATGGAATTGATAAAATCAAACTCTACATGAAAAATAGTTCAGAGTAATAGCTAGTTTCAACTCAGTACCACAAACATGTTCAGTGCGTTATTTTCTAAAATCAAACCTTATATGAAATAATTCAGATTACTAGCTAATTTCAAAAAAAATTGTGATTTTCCACAATCATAATATGACTCTCGACGATTGTTGTTTATTTTTTTCTTCATTCGATTCAAACCTCGTCTATCCAGTATTGTTTTAACCACATAACACTCAATGCTTAAACATGTTTAGACCATTTATAAATACTATACAGCTACAGTCTTAAATTTTCCTAAGGTTTAAGACAAACTGAACACCATCTAGGGTTAGTTTGAATAGAACACTCACTATATTGCAAGCCTCTAAATTTCACTTAGCTTGATGTTACATTATGGTGCTTATATAATTACAAAATATGTATTACGAAGAACATGTTATCAATCAAGAACGGTAAACAAAATTGACATGGGGATGAACCATCTAGCTTGATTATGTTCCAAACCCCTTAAAAATAACATGTTTCGTTTGTTTTCATATAAAGTGGGCATTCTTTAGTCTTTCCACCCAAGGCACTAAAAACCCTACAACTGGCCCGGGCTTCCAATATATATGTTTTCTCAAGTATCTTCTCATGAGGAAGTTGATTGTATCTGCTTTTGGTATTCTAACACTTGAATAGATTTATAAGATTCCTCACAATCAAATTTTGTGTAGATTTCATTTCCAAAAAATACTTGTATTATGTTTCGAACTAGACTCTGGATGAAGTCTGTTATGTCAAAAAGATAATCCTAAAAGGCTATAACACATGGAATAATGCACGAGTATACATACTCATCTCATATCATTTGGAAACAAGTAATGATGGTAAGAATACCGAGTTATCGATCCTCAGAGACAATGAAAGTGAGAGTTTCCGATAAGTGATCTTAAAATAGGATTTTTAGATGGTAAATTCAAAGGAATAATCTTTGGTTTGAATTAACAATCTGCTGAGATATGATAATAATAATAATAATAATAATAATAAAAGAAAGCATGGGTACAAGTTCATGCTGAGATTTCAGTGATGAAAATGCAGCAAAACCTTGCTACAACATCTAAAATAGATGTTGCAGTGTAGCTCTTAACTCACTACTAGTTTGAACAGTCTTCTTCTGAAGTTCGGACGGGACACCTACTAGCAGTATTTAAAGAATATAAATTCAAGCTTGGCGTAGTATGATACCATCAAATCTAGAAAGATGGACTAATTTAAAATTTCCAATAATACATCAAATAAGAATTAAATCTCCTTCTAAAAGGCAACGTTTCATTACCTATAACGGCAAATCTAAGATTCAGCATCAACACATATATACCAAAAGCTTATGCAAGTATATAATTAGGGACAGTCGTTACTAAAACTCAATAAAGATTGTTATCTCCAACATATGAAAAATTTCCCCGGATAGCTATTTCCTTCTCGTGCACTTAAGTAGCACTCAACTCTTCACGGTGTCGCTAGCACATTCCGAACAAAGACCTGATGCACATTTCAACAAATAAAAAAGGTTAGACTTAACATCTAGTGAGTTTAAACAGTTTTCATCATAATTATAATATTGTAAAGCTAAAAGACTGCTTATTTGAAACATAATTTCTCAAATGAAATGTCGTTATCGTAAAAACAACATCTCTCCAAAAACCACCATTTATGTGATAAAAACTCTAAATCAAAATACCATTTTATATGAATTTAAAACCTAATACTCACTCCAAAACGTGAATAACGTATAATGTACAAATATTGTAAACATGAGTAAAATTCTATTATCCAAGCCTCCGAAGACATAGACAAGGTTCAATACCCGGACCATAAATAATGGAAAACACTCCATACTCAAAACAACACCGAAATATGGATAATACACTTATCCGGAAAATAACACATTTTTAGTGACAGGGGAGACCCTTATCCATTGAATGTGGCAAACACAAAAGTAAGCCACATTTTATGTTAGAGAGTTTCATTCTGGATCACAAAGTAATTAGGTTTAACCACCCATAGTCTATAGTCTGTGAGTCCTCCGCTAATCCTAATCATACTCCCTTATTAGAAATAATAATCACTATGGCTTGACCTTCATCAAGCTTAACCACTTACTGACTATTGCTCGAGTACTCTGCTACGGCTTATGCGGTCATCAAGTTCAACCACCCAAGGTCTGTACCTTAAGTCATTCGCTAAGGATCATATGGTCATCAAGTTCAACCACCCACGGTCTATACTTCGAGTCCTTTGTTGATCCTAAATATTACTAGCTACAAAATAGGGATAAAGTTCCCATTTAAACCAATTGACTGACTCCTATGCCTATGGATACATTGTATTACAGTCTAAATTATATGACTCTTATTGATTGACCAATACACTCAAAACATGTAATTTCCAAATAAATATGTCATAACTACATATCACTTTAAAGGCTCAACATCGAGCAATTTAAACTAGACAAATGTCCTAAAACTCATCCGAGTCAAACCTAAGTCAATAACTCAACAACTCAATTGACTATTCAATAAACGTATAAGCCAATAAAATACAAATAGTCAATGTTTTTATATGACTTATGCTTCAAGAGGTGTGCATATTTTTATTATCGATTCAAAAGTTTGGCAAAATCTCAAACAATACCATAACTTCAAGGAAGCATTTTTCAAATAAGCAATAACACCCAACAACTCAATTATATATGTTTTTCGGATGATTTATAAAATAAAAATACCAAAAGTGTATTCACACCAAATAATTCTCCCAAGGAGAAAATAATTCTCCCA